CCTTTTTGCTCCTATGATGCTGCTTGGCCTGCTGTGTTCATCCAGCTCTGCACCTTGTTGCCTCGGATTCTCCAGCATCTGCAGTTCCTACTATCTCTGATTCAGTTTAGTTTCTAGTCGGTTAATACCCAGGATGTTGATTTGAGGGATTCATTGATTGGATATCATTGCTTGACACGTGTGGCATGGTGTTGCTAACCACTTAGCTGAAGCCTGGCTGTTGACCTGGCCAGTGGATGTGGGTTGTTTCAGTTTCTGAGGGGCTGCAAATTGCATTGAACAATGTCTAATCATTGACCATCCCACTGACCTTATGCAGGGAAAGCCATTGAACCCACTGAAGATGGTGGGCATGGGGCATTACCCTAAGGAATTCCTGCAGAGATGTCCTGGGTATGAGATGATTGACCTTTTTAGTAACCATTTTCCTTTTGTGCTAGTATGTGCCTCTAACTTGGAGAGTTTCCCCTCCTTCATATTGATTCTGGCTTTCCTTGGGCTCCTTGATGCCATTCTCTTACAAATGTTATCATAATATCAAGAGGAGCCACTCCACCTCACCTCTGGAGTTAAGCATTCTGCTCCACACTTGGATTAAGGCTGTAAATTATCTGGGGAGCCCTGGTGGAACCCAGACTGAGCTTCAATGAGCAGGTCATTGCTGTGCAAAGAGCCAGTTAAAAGCACAGATTACAACCCCTTCCACCACTTTGCTGATTTTGAGAGTAGACAGTTGAAGTTGTAAATGGTTGGATTTATCATGTTTTCTGATGACCCGACAGACCTAGTTGGTTTGAAACATTGTTGTGTAGGTGTTATTGTAGCTTAACTGGAACAATTTGGGTAGGAAAGCAATGAATTCTGGAGTAACTTTCATGCTGCTTGAATGTTGTCAGCAGCCATAGCTGAAATGATCCATCCGCATGGTACTCTTGAAGATGGTTGCAAATGCCTTTGCCTGGTCTTTTTGCACTGATGTGCTGATCAAGGATGGTGATATTTGTGAAGCTTAATTTGTTTAATTAACCACAGCTGAATTGCAAATTCATTGGTTGTGGGGCCACTTAACTCTGGAGCTAACTTCTTCCACTGTTTGGCATGGAAATAGTCCTCTAAATTGTAGCTTGATCAAGTTGATTTCTCATTCTCTTGGGTACATCTGGCGCTGCCCATTTAGAATACCAGTGGCTACCCCTACCATCTTCACAAGTGTGTAGAGGTAGCGATGCCGTATGACTTGATTGTAGGCAAGCTTTCTAATTAAATTTAAACCTCATCCACTTAGCTCTGAAAACTCAAATCCAGATTGATTTGAATTCTACGTGGTGCTTCATCATAGTTTTATGGTGTAGTGTGGAACTTCACCAAATCCTTCTCATTGGTGAATGGTAGCAGTGGTGGCGGAGAGCATGCATAACAGCAGACCTCCTGCGGATAGCACAACGCAGATACCACTATCGTGTAACTGTACGTACCGTGAAGGACTGCAATGAGGGGGAAGGAAAAGGTGACTGACATCCCCAACCTCATGAAGTAGATGCATGGGTAGTGAATCATAGAAGCATAAGAATTGGGAGCAGGAATAGGCAATTCAGCCCCATGAGCCTGCTCCACCATTCAGTGTGATCATGGCTGATTTTGTCTTGACCTCAGTTCTACTTTTCTACTTGCTTTCCATAATCCATTACTAATCAAAATTGAGTGGAAAATAAGGGAGTATAATTCAGACACAAATGACAGCTTTATTTCTGAAAATTAGTAAGAATGTCATGAAGCGTATGTAACTTGGTCTCGATGTATCATGGTGCTCTTCATACTTGTATCCAGATTAAAAATGAATTGTATGTCCAAAATCCAAATAGGGAAACTATTTCAAGTGTTATGAATGCAGCTCTGTTTGTTTTTCGAAGCAGAGAAATCTGAAGTAAAGTGTGACTTGCTTTTAAGTTGCTAACCAACCACAGGCATCAGAAAATGTTACCACTAGTGCGTCATGTATACAGTAGAGTTTTTCAGAGCAATAGAAAAACATTTTTGTGCACGCTTTATTTTAAATTGCTAATTTCTTGTTTCCTTGATAGGTCAGAGAGCTCCTGTCAAACTGAAGGATTGACTGCTTCCTCACTTTGTCCTGGTTGATCAATAATTTGTGGAGGTAAAAGAAGCAAACTATATTTGAATTAACAGTTGAGAAGTTAAATTATGAAGGATCGTTTTGAATCAAGTAATTTGGCATTGCACACACAACAAACTAGAAGTTAAATATAACAAGTTGACTGAAATGTGATTTGAGGGAAGCCATTTTTCTGGGTTTTTTGATAGAATGTTTAAATCTGCCAATGTAATACCATACTAGATAATCCACTTGTTGCAACTTACTGCTTTTTGATTACAATGTCCACGACTCTCAGTATGAGACCACTTCATCTTGGTGAAGAAGGACATCTCTGGAAATTTTACTAGTTTATACATTTTATCTACAGTTAAGATTTGACTTAAAATGATATGCTAGGTTTATGTTACACACTTAAGTGTTTGACAGGATTTGTTGCTCATCCCGAATTGCCTTGAATTGTGTGGCTGTTAGACTACTTGAGGGCACTGGAGAGTCAACCACATTAGTGTGGGCCTCCGACTGAGGGAAACCTTCCATCCTTACCCAAAGAACAATAATGAACTAGATAGGTATAACACCCAGATGTCTTGGTCTTCATTGGTCCTATCCCTTGTGCCCCTTTTTTCATACCGAGTTACTCAAAATTTCTTTCACCCTTTTTAATGTTGACAATGGAGTGCCGTGATATGAGCCCTGTCTGGAGCGGAGATGTTTTTCATAAAGTTTGGTCAGAATTGGTTTTCTCTTGATAATTAAGCCATGAAAATATGATGTAGCTCATGGAGGGGATCAATGGTTGGGTAGATATAACTACTCGGTTAAATCCATGTACTTAAAATATTTTGCACTATGTGCAGAATCTGTTGCAAAATCCGCTTCAGAACAACGCTAATTGTTTGTTAACATTGCAAAGCTTCATTTGTTCTCTTGAGCATTTTGCTACATTGTCTGACCTAAAATTAGAAACATTGCAGTGGTCAGTTTGAACCAGTCCTGAGGCCAGCTGTTTCAATATAATTAAGTTGCTCTGTTACTCACAGGCCAGTTGTACAAGTTTTGCTTGTGAAACAATGCTTGAAATTGAAGGATGTTTACATTTTTCACTTACTGTTTCTTGATGTTTGAATGCACAAAAATGTTTGACTAAAAATTTTTGACTTGTAACTTCTAGGGTTTTCATCTAGAAGAACTAAATTGTTAAAAATGGTGGACTACTACCAGGTATTGGGAGTACATAAAAGTGCCTCCCAGGAAGAAATTAAAAAAGCGTAAGTCTGTATTTTATACTGAACCGGTAATAGAATATTCTAGCATGCTCTCTGCTTCTATTCCATGATTGGAGTTGAGTTGGGTGGGAAAGTATATTTCGGATTTTACAAATGAAGCTGATCTATTCTAAAACTGAATATTTCAGTTTTGTCCCCTTCTCAGCCTCATCTTGTTCCAGTTCCCTGCTTTTTGTTTTCTGCACCTGATTTTGCAACAGAATTCAACTAGTTCTAATTCACATCTTGTATGCTAATTTACACTTTTTATCCTAATTCACTGCAGCCCATATAGCCCACCGGTAGGATCACGCTGATCAATTTTAATTCTACCTTCCCATTTAATCCCTTGATTCCCTTAGCATGCATAACTCTTTTAACCTCTAGTCTTGAATAGCTTCATTGAAATAGTCACAGCTCTGTGTAGGGGAATTTCAAAGATTCTCCTTGCCTTAGTCCCAGCTGAATAAACTTCTTATCATGAAATAACGTCTTAGTTCTCATTTCTCCGGCTATAGGAAACTTCTCACCTCTGTCTACCCTGTCCAATTCCTTCAGATTTTTCAATGAGGTTACTTTGTGTTCCTAAACTGCGAGTAAATGTTAGGCCTATGATTAGACCTCCTTTCAAGGAGCTCCCTCTAAGTGTTTAATCTAGCAACCTTATTTCTTAGGGAGACATAACTATATATTTTGTACTCTGTGATCTCACCAAAGCTCTCATACAGTTTCAACAACACTTCCTTACTGTTGTTCTTTGACCTCTGCAGCGAAAGTTATTGCCTCTGAAATACTGTGTACTGTGTACACTCAATCTGAAGTTTCCCTGTTTTCTTATTGTGACCACCAATGCCCACTTTGAGCAGCTTTTTACTAAAAAGCCGAAACATGCAAGGACAGTTCAGTTACCCTGCTGTAAACAAATTAACTTCTACGTTTGTGAAGTGTTCTGATGACATCTAGTGACAGAAAATACTGCTTACATTTAACTGAAAGCTGGAGACTGACTTTTAATCACTCCCCTGTCTGCATTTTATTTAGAATTGGCTTCCCCTTCAGTGGTTGTAATTTGAAATTTTGGCTAAGTACTATTCCACAGAGTGCTTTAGTTCTTTAGGTCCAATTATTAGTTGAATAGATAGTGGCAGAACCTTCACTAATAGCAGCGCATGGAAACAATCAGGATTGTCTAATGTCAATGCATATCTATGCTTCTTTATTCATGAAAGCATCATTAATTGATCTACAGGGAAACTACAGCATTCTTTTCCTTTGTGTGACCAGAGTCTAACAGCAGTACTCAATGTTCCTGTTTCTGAGCATTTTTTGAAAATTACTGGTAGAAACTATTAGCAAGTTCTTCTATTCATCTTTGCAACATCTTTCTAGATGTGTATTATTGATTTACATGTCTCCTGCAGAGGTGATAATGCAGGAGGAATAGCTTGTTACATCAGCCATAGTAAACTGCTTCCCAGCCTGCAGACCAGGAAATGGATAATTTGGTTAATTTACTTCATTATCAAGGGGGAAGAGAAACGTTCTTTGCAGCAGCCAGGTTTATTTTGATGTGGTACAAATGTTCCCAGAGAATATAAGGTGCCTGACTACAGACAATTTTTGCTCTTGCAAGCATTGTTTTGGCCTGACAGGGTGAAGTATGGTTAAACTTTGGTGAACGGGCCTGAGTGTATTCTAGACTGGATGTATTATATCCTGAAATCAGAAACTTGTAGTACCAAAGGACCAATTGGTCTCTTGTGTTGAGATTTAGATTCAGATTTGGGTTTTATTGTCGAGTATAATGAAAAGTGCACAGTGTCACCATTCCTAGTGCCATCTTGGATACAAAGATATCTAGGTACAAAACCTTGGGTGCAAGAATAGAAAAATACAGAAATAAGTTGAATAGTTCAACACTGCAGTTCTTGGTATAAAGCGGAGTGATAAAGTTAGAAGTTAAACATTACAGTCCTTAAGCCTTGGGCTGGCAGACACGACATGCTAGGCTTTCCCTTCAAGGGTTTGCTCTCCCCTGCGCTGGACTGAGTCCTGCCTGGACTGGCCAGCTGCTGTACTGCCAACTGCCACTTCACTTGTCAGCTGCTTTGCTGCCAACTGCCATCTGGGCTCACCAGGCTTTGCTGTCTATTGCTGCTTTGCCACGAACTGCCATCTGGGCAATGCTTAACTGTCTTGGTCTGACAGGATAATGAACAATGCTCGTAAAAACAAGCTGTCTGTAGCCAGGTCTCCAGAAGCTCAGGATGGATGGCACGGTGGCTCAGTGGTTAGCACTGCTGCCTCTTAGCACCAGGGACCTGGGTTCAATTCTAGCCTGGGGCGACTGTCTGTGTGGAGTTTGCACATTCTCCCTGTGTCTGGGTGAGTGGATTGGCCATGCTAAATTGCCCATAGTGCCCAGGGATCTTTAGGTTAGGTGGGTTAGACATGGGAAATGGGTCTGGGTGGGGTGCTGTTCAGAGGGGTGGTGTGAATTTGTTGGGCCGAATGGCCTGTTTCCACACTGTAGGGATTCTATGAAGCTCCGGTGACCAAATCAAAATAAAACTGGTGGCTTTCTGAAAAAGCAGTTGTTTAGTTGTGCACCTCTGCCTTACTGTAATCTTGTAAGTTCCTCAGAGTACTTGTCCTATTTTAAAATTACTTATGGAATCTGCTTTTCAGGTTGAGGTTCTGATAAGAGTGGAAGAATGATTTCAACCTTGTCAATGGTTTTGATTATTGGAACCTTGTTATTGATCTACTTCCCAGAGAATGTTTTTTCACAATCAACTAGCACAATCCTTCATAAATCTCTGGAAGCACCCCTTTTTTTTTTGTTTCAAGGAGAACAGTCCTCTAACCTTTTGATGTATAACTGAAGTTCCTCATCCATGGTATCATTCTGGTAAACCAAGCTGTCAGCAGGGTAGTGGATGCTGACATCTATCATCATTGTCACTTCCTCATCTCTCAATCAGGTTTGAGAGACAATGCCTTCCCTGCGCAAAGCCATGATGCCTATGGCTGACGGGTCCATTTTTTCAATTTTTTTCACATTGTTCACTATTTTAGCTGAGGCATATCTTACACTCTATCATGATCTCTTACAGTTGCCCCATATAAAAAATTCAACCCTATTTATGAAATCTCTTATCAAGTTTGTCACAATAAAATAATTTGTGTATGTAGATATAAAGGTCTCTTGTTCATTCTGTATTTATAGTGTACTCTTGTTAGTCTTTGTAAAATGCGTCACCTAACAATTGCATTGAACTGTTATGCTTCAGAATCAGAGTACAGGAGAAACCCTTTGGCCCATGGAGTTTGTGCCGTCAAAGTACATTACTTGCTGTACATTTTAGGATTGAGGTTTCCTGTCTCAGCTACCCACCATGCAGTACATTCCAGACTCCTAACATCCTCTGGGTGAAAAATCTTTCTTCAAATCTCTCTCAATACTCCTGTCTTTCATTTTAAAATTATGCATCCTTGTTCTTGAACTTTTGACTAAGGGGAAACAGCTGTTTTCTGTTTATGTTTGCTTTATTCATCCTGTCCATTTCTTCCTGTTGGCCATCTTGAAGTCTGTAGCTTTTGTCCTTATCTGCTGACTTTAAAATTTATAATGCTTCTCTGTATGCCTGCTGAGTTTAAAATCAACCGAAAACTGATCCTTGAACGACTAAAGTCATTTTCCATCGGTCATGAAGATCCATAGCACAGAAAAAGGCCCTTTGGCCCATCAAGTCTGTGCCAGTCAAAAACAGTCACGTAACAATTCTAATCCCATTTTCTGGTATTTGGCCCATCGACTTGTATATACTTGAATTCCTGTCTTAGTTTTCTGTTCATACTGCTGTTTACATCTTGGATCTCCATGGTGGCACTTAAACTTCCAGAATGCATTCAACAATGTATACAACATCACTTTCACTGCTATGAGCAACTTGTTCCACATTAAAGAATTCCTACATTTAGTTTGTCCCAATTTGCCTTTCATAAAAGTATGATGACTCTCCTTGATTAACCTTTGCCTTTCCAAATGAAATTGTGCCCTAGTAATAGTTGCTAACAACTTCACTGATCTTGGGCCTGCTGTCCTGTAATTTTCTGATTAACTGCTTTCCCCTTCCTTGAATAGTGCTGAGAACATCAGCCCAACTATCCTCTGGCACTACTGAACTCTGGGGATTGAAAGTTTGTAACCAATGCCTTTGCTACTCTTACTGCTTTCCAGTAATCTTGGATACATTTGACCTGGGCTAGTTAATTTACCAACGTCAGTAAATCTCTCGAATGTCTTCTATTTCAAATATCTTATTGCTATTTCATACCAAACTTCCTTTTGGGTTCTTAATTCCAATTCTTTCCCTACCAAACTTGTACTTGTGTTTTTGTTTTTTGTTTGATTTTGTTTCATCTTTAAGCTGTTTCCTGTACAATGTTAATTGAGTTGCCTCGATGCTTTCTGCTTGACTTGTGCTCCCTATATTTATCACAAGCTTCCAATTTTGTTTCAACTGCTTTTGTTGTTTGAAACATTAGAACTTTGGATGTTGTGGTATCTTTCCCTTCATGGCATGCCTAGATTTGACCTGAAGTATCTTTGCTGGATGTTGTCTACTACTCCATTACGGCTTTACCCTGCAATCTACCTGTGGTTATTCAAATCAGTTAAATTAATTCCTCATACTTGAGAATTTTTAACTGATTTTCTGACTGTTTTGAGTACTGAATGTCATTTAGTTCATCTTCTACAGACTCCACTTGTCCTACTGCATTTGAGAACCTGATTCACCTACATTTTCTCCTTTTTTCACTTCAGCTTTATTAACTTTGCACATTTCAAACTATTTGTTTTTCCTATTTTTCCCTGTTCTTCAATTTATATATGAAGATTTTGGCCTGATTTTTGTTGTACTCTTGGAATTTGCCAACAAATTTGGTTTGGCTTGAAGGTTTACTGAAAGTTGCATGAACTACTATACTAAAAGTATAGTATTTTTTCTTTGCCTTCATTCTCCATGTACTAGATTACCTTCCTGCTGGGTGCTACTTGGATCTACATTTTTGGCTTCTGTTTTTGTGCTTAGTCTCTACTCCACTGCTGGACTTAAAATAAAAAGTGATGCTCCCAAAGTCTTGTACGTTGCAGTTAGGAAGATCGCTTAATCAGAACGGAGGTATATTGCACAGCTCTTAAGTGGTCAGTCCTCTTTTCTTTATGCTGTTGCTTCCAGTTTGAATGAATGTCTCTTGAACGTACCAGTTCATATGGATAGGTAATGTAGCATTTGAATATTTCTACCTGTTTCAGCCAGAGTTTTAACACATTATCAGAAGACTGCAAATTATCCAGCGTTTTGAGCTGTAATTAGTAACATTGTCACAATCAGTGCTTAAATTAATTCTTCAAAGCTTGAACTGACATTGAGAAGTACACTGTAATTCCAACTTTATTTTGTTTGAACCTAAATGCTTTTTAAGCAGCGCAATTTATCCTTGGCCTTGTATATTATGGCAGTGATTCGTAGCGCCATCTTGCCCAAAGCCTTCATGTGAGCATAGACAGTCCATGGCTGAGATTACTATCTGCTCTTTTTCTAAGAGTGCTACTGTAATTTGTTTCCATTACTGCCTGTCTGGAACAGATTAGAAATTTGTTCTAGGATGTTGGTTAAGAGTTGTTTGGATGCTGAATTTGCCTTTGTTCCATCAGGAATTATTTAATACTACACTGGTTTCCACTTGTTATTTTTCCCCAATTTCCTTAATACCAATAGCCATAGAGAATTCTAATTTTTCATACTGAGTTTTGAATGTATCAGAGCCAGTTACGTTATAAGCTCATCTTCCTGGTGATGGTATCTCATTATTTCAACTTCATATAACTAGTTCAAACTTCACATTTTCAAAGTTTAAAATGGTGTACTGGGGGTACTGTTTTATATGGCTAAAACTGGGCGCTGATACTTCCATGGCATAGTGAGTGAAGTTCAACACCACCGCAGTAAAGTGGGCTTTCTGGAAATGAAAAGTGTATATTTGCAGTATTTTTGGTCAAGAGGAAATAATGTTTTCGGGGTAAAACTGGGGTTATTCTCTGCAGTAAATCCTAATTAAAGGTTGCAATGGGAGTATCTAATGCATGTTGCACTGCACAAACTTAGGTTGCTGTAAATGTAACAATTTTTAACTAGTTCTTGAAATCTACTTGAACAGAACTTCACGGAGCAATCTGAAATTTACACTTCTTCAATGCATTCTAGTCTTTAGTAGCAGTGCTGGCAAAATGACTGTGGCTGGTTTGCTGAGAAATCTGATTTGGGATGTAAAATTTGGATAGAATTGGTCTCATGAAATGTATAAAATTATTGTTTACACACACTGTACCATCTGTACATTTTACTAAGCCATACAATTCAATAGTTCAATCACTTGTTAACCAGCAGAGTTATCAATTGATGGTTGTATATTTCAAAGATATCGCAAGCTGGCATTGAAATGGCACCCTGATAAGAATCCTGATAACAAAGAAGAGGCAGAGACTAAATTTAAACAACTTGCAGAAGCTTATGAAGTTCTTTCTGATTGTAAGTATTATTGGATATGAATTCCTGACCTGAGTGGATAGTTCTGACATGTGAATTGTTTTGTCAATTTTCTGGTTCATGAAAAACTTTCAAGAGCAAATTGCAACAACCTTATTGTTTCTCTTGTATGGACACTGGCTTGGTGTTGTATGTTGACCTCTTGAATTAAATTGATCTCAATTATAACTTTTGAAAACTAGTATTAAACGTGATAAAACATACCACACTAAAATTTGTGGTTGCTAATATCAGAAATTCTTTGTAGATATTTTTGCAGGCATTCGGTTTCTGGTTTCCATTTTCTACATTCGAATAAAAGTGCTATTCTGCAGCAAGCAGCCAATAACTCTTGTTCACAATCATATTTATGCAATATAAAGAGTTATTATGCAGCTACGTGAAATAAATACAAAGACAAGCTGAATGTTGGTGCATATTGCTAGGGGAAACAGTATAAACATTTGGAATAAAAACCAAAAGAACTGCAGATGCTGTAAATCAGGAACAAAAACGAAGTTGCTGGAAAAGCTCAGCAGGTCTGGCAGCATCTGTGAAGGAGAAAACAGAGTTAACGTTTCGGGTCCGGTGACCCTTCCTCAGTTCTGAGGAACTTCCAGCAACTTTGTTTTTGTTCATAAACATTTGGAAGTCTTGCCGCAGTTGTATAGGACCTTTTTAGTGAGATTGCTTTTGGAGTTTCATGTCTCCTTTTAGAAAAGGTAATTACATTAAAGCTCCTCAGAAGTTTCACCTCACTGCTGCCACAAGAGGATTACTCTGAGGAAAGATTATGGAGGTTGGGCCCATACAATGTGTCTGGAAGAATGAATGATCTTTATTAGATATAAATCATGAGGGGACTCAACAAGGTTTGTACTATGAGTATATTGTCCTACCTGGCCCCCCTCTCATCCCTGTGACCCTGCATTTACTATGGCTAGTCCATCTGTCCTGCACATTCTCTCTACACTAGAGACATGTAGAATGGCCAGTCTGCCTAACCTGTACATCCCTGGACTGTGGAAGGAAACTGGAGCACCCACTTAAAACGTGAAAACTCCATGCAGTCACCTGAGGCTGGAATTGAACGCAGGCCTTGGCACTGAGGCAGCAATGCTAGTCACTGCCACCATGCCACCCTGTGAATATGTAATTTGTAATTAACATATTTCTGTATCTTAATATATGCATACATGATAATTGCATGTGTGCAATGTAGCTGAGTGAAAAGCAGTTTAAATGTGGGCGTTGCTAGGTTGGCCAGCATTTACAGTGCAGCGGAGTTGCCCTCGTAGATATCAGGAGTAACATGCCCAAATTAGGTAAGGATCTGGTTTCCTTCCCTAAATGACATTGGAGAACTAGAGTTTTTATGCCATCTGGCAGTGGTTACCTGGTTACCATCAGGCTAGCTTTTTATTTCAAATGTCACCACCTAGCAGGTGGAATTTAAACTCTTCCCCAGCCTATTAACCTGGAACTCATAATTATTAGTCCAGTAAAGCTACCAGTACACCCTCCCACCACCTCCATCGTAACGCCTGATTTGTTTTGTAGATGGTGGATAGACGTTGGCAGGTCTGAAATGAGTACCTGTAATTCCCAAGCTCTGACCTGGCCTAAACTGAGTTACAGGTGATGGGGGATTCATAGATCATAGAATCATAGAATTCCCAAATTGTGGAAACGGGGCCTTCGGCCCAACAAGTCCACACCAAACCTCAGAGCATCCCACCTTGACCCATACCGCTATAACTCACCTAATCTACATGGGACACTAGGGGCAATTTAGCCTGGCCAATCCACCTAGCCTGCACACCTTTGGACTGTGATTCAGTGATGGTAATGTCATTGAAGTCATTAACGTCACTGGAGATGGTTAGATTCTTTTATTGGCAATAGTTTGAAACTCATGATATGGATGTTACTTGTGCATTGCTGAGAGAATACATTTTGCCAAAGAATAGCTGTACACCAGGTAATTCACAAGAAATATTAATACAAAGGAAAAACAACATTCTGACTCCTGATTAGTTGACAGCAGGACTCTGGTAGAGATTATCATAAAGAATGTAACAGTTACTTGTCGTTTAGCTGACCGAATCTGTTTCTCATGTCATGTATGTTAGAATGGATAGTTTCAGTATTGGAGGTGTCATGAATTGTACCAAGTACTAATTTATCTGCAAGTATTCCCACATCTGGTCTTATGATGAAGGAGGAATCAATGAAACAGTTGAAGATGGTTGGACCTTGGACTGTAACCCTCATGAACTCCTGATTTCCTGGGACCTAATTTGCCTTCAACCACAACCATTTTCCTTGGATGCCAGGAATCTTGCCCTGCTCATTGACTTCAGTTTTAAGGCTCCTTAATGCCACATTTGGTCAAATGTCAAGGTATCCACTTTTACCTAGAGTTTAGGTCCTTTGTCCATGTGTTTGAACAAAAACTGTAATTAAGTAGGAAGTCCAAGTATTGGTAAGTGCTGCTCCAACAATTATTCTCTGCTGCAGAGTAGACTTGTAAAGTGGTATTTTCCATGTTATTGGATGTTAGTGGTGTAGCTGCACTGGAACAGCTAAGCCAGGAATATGCTAGTTTTGGAACTGTCTACTTCATTATTACAGCTGTGATGTTGTCAGGGCCTTGGAGCCTTGACAACATCTAGTGCCATCTCTTAATGTCACATGGAATGAATAGAATGGGATTGCATTTGGCACTTGGGATGCAAGGGACCTAAGGAGGCTAAGACAAATCATCTAATTGCCTACCTGAGGATTGTTTATGCTTCAGCCTCTTCTTGCCCTGATGTCTTAGATGTTACTCACCGTTGTAAATGGGGATATTTGTAGAAGGCGGATCCTGACCCGAAACGTCAGCTTTCCTGTTCCTCTGATTCTGCCTGGCCTGCTGTGTTCCTCCAGCTCCACACTGTTATTTCTGACTCCAGCATTAGCGGTTCTTACTATCTCTATTTGTGGAACCTCCCCTTGTTTACTTGTCCAGTATTGCTCATGACTGAATATGGCAGAACTACAGAGCTTTCACCTGATCAATCAGTTGTAGAATTGCTTTGCTGTGTCAACTACATGCAGCCTTTGCTGCTGTTGAGCCAAGCTTAATGTTCTGTGCTTGTTCTTTTTAAAATAAAATGTTCCTGAACCACATGAATATGTAGATCAGCTTTTAGTAAAGGATATATTTACCCAGTAAAGCTGACTTGTGGTTCCATTGAGCTATTTAGAAATCTGAGTTTAGAGCAATATTTGGCTTGCCATATCAGCTTTTTCATGTGCTATCAAGTGTTTAGATATGAAGAACTGTTTCTAAAGCAATTACAAGTTACTGCTAAAGATGATTTTGCAGTGTTTTGCAGCCCTGACGCTAATTGTTTTCTAAATGACCTTTTTCAATACAGCCTCAAAACGCAATATCTATGACCGATATGGTAAAGAAGGCTTGACTAATGTTGGTGGAGGTAAGCTGCCTGATTTTAAGGTTCAAAATGTGATCAAATTAATCCTATTTTGCATTATTTTGTCATTTGATTGAACCTTGCTGTTAAGGTACTTGATTTAGAGTGCTATAATTATTTTGAAACTTGTTATCTGAAAAATGTCAGTTTGGTTGTTCTAAATGCAGTGTTGCGATCTGTTTGAGGGGTGAACCTCTGCACTTGTCGCACAATTTGAACTTGGAAAGGAAGATGACTTTTGCCAATTTCGTATCTCACTGTATATAGCTTAGTGTCAGAAATAAGTCAACCAGGCTCCTTTAGAATAATTAAAGAAACAAGTTACTGCAAAGGGGTAGTAGGAACTGCAGACGCTGGAGAATCTGAGATAACAAGGTGTACAGCTGGATGAACACAGCAGGCCGAGCAGGAAGGCTGACGTTTCGCACCTAGACCCTCCTTCAAAAAAAGCAGCATTTTCTGAAGAAGGGTCTAGGCCCGAAACGTCAGCCTTCCT